TGGGCACTATAAACCCAAACTATTTCTAAATATACATGTGAACAATAGTTACATTTTCTTAACTATAAAGAATAGAATAAAATGTGATTTTATTAAATGTTACTGTTTCATGACTGTTATAAACCCATATACATATAAACTTGACAATGGACACTTTTTTTATTTACATTAGTATATAGAATAGAATTTATTCAACTCAAAGGCTGTTGACAATAATTAATTGTCTTATTATTATATTTAAATACTTTAAATAGTTTCTACAGTTTAGAGGACATTATTATGCTTGTAAAGAAAGTTAAGGGACAAAGTGCAGTACTGACTGTCCCGCCACTGACAGCAGAGCGGGTAACCAAGGATTCAAAAACAATACGTGAGCCCACAATGCACCGCGTTTACACTCTCGCTATCCAGCATTACCTCATCCCACAATCCACCGCGAGATTAAGATTTTTTTCTGGGTGGTCTTCCAGGCAAGCGGGGCGGGGTCTTACCGTTGCGACACGCCCTCCAGCCAATGGGAGAACCCCGTCATGACATCATGGCTATTTTTAGCGAGGCAGCGGCAGCAGATAAGGTTTGGATCCACGCTGCTCAGATCAGAGTGTACACACGAGAGTCACAGCGCTTTTCATTCACACAGCGTGGACACGACTCTCTCACCGCCGGCTCGAAGAAGTAAGTCCTGATCCCTGCCGAACCAGGGCGCACTCACTCCGGAGGCTTTTACGCACAGAGGACGTTTGGAAACCAGTCTCCTCAGCTGATTTAAACCAAGTTGAAGCGCAGGGGGGGACGAAAGGTGTTTTTGTAGAAGACCTTTATAGCTGCACTGGTTTTTTGGTTTCTCTTCTATGTATACCAAGATGGAAACTACTTTCTATGACGACTCACTCAACGCTTTCTCCCAGCAAGACAGCGCCGGCTACGGATACAGCAACTCCAAAGCGCTGAAGCACAACATGACCCTGAACCTCTCCGACCCGACGGGCACCCTGAAGCCGCACCTCCGCGCCAAGGCCGGCGAGCTCCTCACCTCCCCGGACGTGGGCTTGCTGAAGCTGGCCTCTCCGGAGCTGGAGCGGCTCATCATCCAGTCCAGCAACGGGCTCATCACCACCACGCCGACCCCGACCCAGTTCCTGTGCCCCAAGAACGTCACCGACGAGCAGGAGGGGTTCGCAGAGGGGTTCGTCCGAGCTCTGGCCGAGCTGCACCACCAGCACATGCCGGCTCCGGCCAGCGTGAGCGTCACCTCAGCCCCACAGACCAGCGTCAACAGCGCGCTACCGCCCGTCTCCTCTGCCGCTGGTGTCACCGTGTACAGCAGCAACACCACCATGCGCTCCGACTCACCGGTCTATGAGGACTTGAACACTTTCAACCCCGCCATCAGCACTGTCTCGGCTCCGAACTACACATCCTCAGCCCCGACTATGTCCTTCCCCGCTGCCCCGCCCCAGCTCCCAATCTACGGCCAGCCCAGCTCCCTGCCCCGTCTCACAGCTCTCAAAGAGGAGCCCCAAACCGTGCCCGAAATGCCCGGGGAGACCCCTCCACTCTCCCCGATCGACATGGAGAACCAGGAGCGCATCAAGGCCGAGAGGAAGAGGATGAGGAACCGCATCGCTGCCTCCAAGTGCCGCAAGAGGAAGCTGGAGCGAATCTCGAGGCTGGAGGACAAAGTCAAGAACCTCAAGTCGCAGAACTCGGAGCTGGCGTCCACCGCCAACATGCTGCGGGAGCAGGTGGCCCAGCTGAAGCAGAAGGTGATGAACCACGTCAACAGCGGCTGCCAGCTCATGTTGACGCAGCAGCTCCAGACCTTCTGAGGGGCTGTCAGCGGCGGCGGAGAGAGCAAAGACTGTAGTTGAACGAATCGGACGCTTCCTGTGATAGTGAGTGGCTGGGTCTCCCGAGATCGGGACGGGATTTGGGATGACCGGCACCGGCAGGATCTGTGGGCCGCACTGAAAGTTCCAGACCGCGCTCCCGGGGGGCGCGTCCCAGAGATGAGCTCGGGACAGTAACAGTGGCCGTGATCCAGAGGGGCCATGGCAACAAGCAGGATACATTTCTGTTTCTGTTCCGTGCTGCTTTCACAGAACTGGACTGAACTTTTCTTGATTTACACCCAGCTCTGCATGGACCTTCTCACGAATACCAAAGGAGAAATTCAGTATTAGAGGATATAAGAACCTGCAATAGAGACGTTTCTTGCTGTAGCCATAATGGCCTCACGCATGGGCGTGTTGACCAACTCTAAACGGCTGAAAGTTGTAACTAAAGCTGCCTGACTTCTGAGTTACAGTACAATGTACTTTCTTTTCTTAATTGTAAGAATTTAAGTTGGAAAAGCTTCAAGATTTTACTTGTTTTTTTCTAAAGTTGTTTGATGGGGTTTCACTCATTGTTATATGTACATAGGATCAACTTGGAGTACTTATATTTACCATTTGTAATAAGAATACTGTATAATTTTTTATGTTGTGTTTTCTGAGCACTTCAGAAACTAATCGATATTTAAGAAAATAAAGCAGATGAAAAGACACAAAGCTGCCTCTGTGTTCTTGTAAAAAGTGGGTGTGCCATCTCAGGAGCTCAAACAATAAAGCATGTTGCAACATGTTGCAAGAGCTGCTAGGCCCGATACCTCAAGGTAAATTCCATTAGTGCTGGTATTGATCCAGGCTAAGTGATTGTGTTACAGCTGGCAGACCAGCGATGGCCAATTCTGCAAATTAGGACATGGAGCTTCATCTCTCCTCTTTGTTATCCCAACACACACAGGTCTGCCTGGAGAGTATGAATATGACACAAACCTCAGGTGTTAACACTATATAACAGTGATAGTATAACATCTTAAAAATCACAATAACATTCAACAAAGTTTATGAAAGTAATACATTTCATACGGTGGCACATCATTTGCACCATTCAGTTATTCAACATTACTTCCTGTCCTGTTGTAAATTAAGAAACCCCCAGACACACTGTTGAAACTCAAACACAAGTAGTTTCTGAGGCAGAACTGTATCACTCATCAGACATAAGATACATTATCACTGACACATTACTGATTTAAGTACCACTGTTGGTCTCAGAGAGTATATTATATTTGTATATAATATACTTACACAATAACTGTGTACAACATTACATATAGTGCACTTTCAACAAGTTTGATGCCAGCTCCTCAAAAACACAATATCATAAATAATAATTCAGATTGTAAACAAAAGGACACCACCATAAATCTAACGGAACTTACATTTTTGAATAAATCACTGACAGGACATAAAGGACAGTTAGACTACAAGACAAATACTCAACATAAATGATTATTTTCTAATGCTGATAAAAGCTGATGTTTTTAAAAGGTTTAAACCAGTTTGGAGATTGAGGTGATAGTTAAATTTAAGAAGCAGGTTGGGGACATGTACACCTAAAAATATGGATATTATGACTAAATATCCCCTTTAACCCCATCAGATACTATAGGCCCAGTGTAAAGTACTGTATAGACAGCAGGTTACACGCCACATACAACAGGTTAAAACTACAGGTTTATACATTACAACTTCTGTCACTAGTGTGTAATGTTCATAATGACACACTAGAGGGCGACACAGACTAAATTACTTGACAGATGAGACTGGTTCTCTCTGTAAATCGACATCAATCACTGCATCTTGTTTTGAATCATCAGTAGTGATGAGACAAAGAATAAACTTGAGACAAATGGTTGATATTGTCTGTGTTAGCAGCTTTAATATATAGCAATTTCTTTCTTTCCCTTTCCTGTTTACTAATATAATTACTAATAACTGATATAATAGAATTTACTTTTCTTATGAACCCCAATGCAACGTGCAGCCATTTCAACTTATTTTATATATTTTTCTATCCCAAAAAATAAAGAAACGACAGCTAACGAATTTGATATCCGCTCTTCACAATAACACAATTAATGAGTTATACAAGTTGATGTTCTGGAAGTATGATATTTCTACAAAATAAAGTAATTCAAAACGTTTCATTAAACGCTAATTCTTATTATATCTGCTCTAATGTCATTTTTTAAGCATGGGGCAGCGTGACGTCACCCCGGAACACGGTGTCCTTCCTGACCATATAAGGAGAGGGAACACTCGGAATATCTACGTCACGACGGAGGGGGCGTGTATTACGGGAAGTGAATCGACTCAGTAATCTGCATAATAAGGAGCCTGGATTTACTTCACCAGGTCAAAACAACAAGCAGATCACAGCTTCAGACCTATTTCATGTTCAGATTTAATAATAAGAAAACAAACGTTATATGCAGGGAAAGGAGGGAGTAAAATAAAATGAAGACAATATGCACTATAAAGAGACAGAGAGAATGAAATACGATAAAATAAAGTAAATAAAGAGACAAAGAGAAAATAAAATAGACAATATACAGTGTAAAGAAAGAGAGAATTCAAATAAAACAAAATAAAAAGTTGTATGGTTTAAAACATTTAATAGAGAACATGTCTGATATAATATAATACAGTGTTATAGATTAAAGCAGTGGCTTAGTGGAAGATATTCAATGTAAAAAGTGCACACATTTAGATTTTGTAATTTGTTATCTCACTAATGTTTGGAATATAAATTATGACACATGCAGACCGAACAGAATGGGGTTACCCATGGAGTGCACCATTCTGCACCCACACATGTTGAGTCATGCACACGTATCTGCTCTCTCTCTCTTTCTCTCTGTTTTCTTTGTAAATTAAAAAAGATAGTCATATTTCCACTGGGGGTTTTAGAGGCAGCTGGCAGTGACTGCACAATAAGTTTGTCACATAATCTCACAAAAGGCAGGTTGATCTTCAGTGAATGGCTTTTGTCTCGAGTTGCTAGGATGAGGTATTTCACCTAGCAATAAGGTATCAAACACACACAGTCACACACAGCCGCCAGAACCACAGGTTATTGAATTCTTACTTTACGTTCTCAAAGTCTTTACAATGTTAAATATACAAAATGGTTTTGATGCTCAAGCATCATCAAACCCTATCAACCCGTATGCTGTGGATGTGATCCGGGCAAAGAAAAAGTATCTGGTCAATGGGATCTCACATACTGAGGATCTACTGGATCTACTCGTCACAGAGGGGGTCATGACAGTGGCTAAGAGATCCATCGTTCTGACCTTCAAGACTCGGAAAGATCAGAACTCTAGGGTCCTGGAAATCCTGGAGGCCGGAGGTGAGAGGGCATGTAGGAAGTTTTTCCATCCCTGTCTCATGCTGGCAGAGCCTGACCTTTATCAGCGAATCAGAGCCTATGTGGGGAGCGTGAACGAACATATTCGAGATGCAAGGAGACAGCTGATTGGCTATTTGCTTGAGAAGGAAAAGGAGGGAATGGTAGGAATAGTCACACTGACTAATAAGAAGAAGGCAGGTGGTTTATTTGCCTCAGAGAAATCTAAAAGATTTAGCCCTGAGATAGAAGACAGCAGTCCTGTGCCACTTGAAAAACTAGGGGATAAGGCAGCACCACATCAACCAGACAACTTAATACACATGATCGCGACAGATTGTGATCTGGTCCTCCTGGAAGAGCTGTTAAAGGACACCGATATTAACACTTTTCATTCTTCCAATGAGACGCTATTACATGTAGCTGCTAAACACAGGCACCTTTCCATCACTGAGATCTTGATCCGTAAAGGAGCCAGATTGGACCTGCAGGATAATCATGGTCACACGGCTCTTCACAGCGCAGCCAGCAGGGGTCATATTGAGATAGTCAGAGCCCTGGTAAAGGCCGGGGCCCCCATCCACTCTTTGGATCTCTTTGATAAAACCCCCATTGACTTGGCAGCAGAGCATGAGCATGTGGATGTTGTGAAGGTGCTGCTGAAGGAGGAGGCCAAGCAAACTGAGAGCCACACGCAGGACATGATTCTCCACAGGGCAGCCATGCAAGACAACTGGAGGCTGGCTGAGCTGCTGCTGCAGAGTGGGGCCGCTGTCAATGCCAGAAACAACCATGAAAAAACACCTCTGTTTTATACAGTTGCCAGGAGCAACGAGAAAACTACGACTGTGCTTCTGAATGCAGGAGCAGAAGTTGACCACGATGTTATAAATGAAGCCATTGAACACAAACAGGAATCAATTCTACACCTGCTGCTGGGTGAGTTCTTTCCCCCCAAAGACTTAAACACATAGAAATCTTGAATTAATGCAACATCGGCATGAATTCCTTTCTGAGTTGTAGATTATGTGCAAACACATTAGTTCACACAGTGTTTTGTTCGTAGCTAATGCCAGAGGAGCTCTGAGTGAAGAAGAGCTGGGCTCTGCTCTCTTCTCCGCTGTTAGACAGAACCAGCATGGAATGGTGACCACTCTGATTGACAGTGGAGCAAATGTGAACTTGTGTGACACACAGGGATACACTGCTCTCCTGTTGGCTGCTGAGCTGGGACACTTTGAAGTCTTCAGGTAACTGTCTCCAACAAGGATTCTGTCTTGTTACGACACACATGGAATGTGTCCTCTACACATTCAACTGCAGGATTATTCACTCAAGAAAGATTCTTGAGTATGAATTATGCAGGTATAGTGGAGGATAATGAATAATCTGCTAGTACTTTTTGTAACCACCATTGTAAAATGTATATGCTAATTCAACCATTAAGGTCTAAATAGAGCCCAGTTGATATGGACTTTTGAGAGCTGATGCTGATATTAAGAGTAAAACATTTCTGCCAATGATTCCCATGCTGTTATTATGAAAACATGATAATAAAAAAAAGAAACGTTAATGAGAACTGCAATCTTTATTATAAAATAAATTTGATGTAAATGTAAGCATAAGAGCACATCTTTTCTGCATTGTTTATTCTGTAAAATAAAAGTTCAAAAAATGTCACTGGTTCCTGTCAAACATGTCAACACAGCTACAGATGTGTGTGAAAGACTCATATCAGCAAACCAATAAAACAGTCATACTCATCCAAATTTGAATTTTGAAAAGAAAAAATAAGGACCACAAAAAGGAACATTAAAAATACAAAAAGAGTAAACGGGAAGACAATCTTAATTTTTTTAATAGTAGTCTGTTTATAGGCCTCTGAGAGTACTTTTATTTAGCGAAGTCTATAAGTTTGAAAATGATACAGCTGATGGGTTTGGTTACTACTGTATCTCTGAAGTGACTCTCAGAGGTTGAGTTATATTTATGATTCTGCTTAGTTTTGATCCTTAAAAATTCTTAATTTGAAATTTGTATCCACTTTACATTGTTACTGATTATGTACTGTATGTCCATGTATCTCCATTTCACTTTGTAGAGTATGGTTTTGTTGGACAGTACATAAAAGCTGCTTGATCGGTTGCTAATTAAACCATATTCTTTGAGACAGTCATCCGTGGATATGTCAGCCTGCCTTGTATGTTTTGGTTCATTGATTATAAATAGCATTTCATTTTTTTATTTCAGAGTGCTACTAGAAAAACAGGCCAAAATGGATGCTACTTTACGTGACCGCTCCTCAGCCTTGCACCTGGCTGTTCACAGTGGCAGTGTGCCCTTAGTTCAGACACTGCTGGAAAAGGGTTCAGACCCCAACATTGCTGGACCTAAAGGCCAACAGGCTCTACACCTGGCAGCTCAGTCTGATAGATCAGACATGGTGGGTCTGTTGATAAAAGCTGGAGCACAGGTAAAAAGTTCACTCAGTAGAGCGCATACCTCCCCCATGAAACCTCAATTAAATTCACTAGACCCAGTTTTTATTTGGATCTGCACCAACTGTCCCACACATGTCAATATCAGTCCCTTAAACATGTGATTATTGAACCATGAATTATTCTCTGAGAAATCAAGGAAATGTCTTAAATTATCTTTTGTTGACTTTTGATAATTCGTCCAGTAGTTTTTTAGCAATCCTGCTAACAGACAAACAAACAAACTCTTTTGCAGAGATTGGTGTCAGTTTTGCATATTTACAGTATGTTTTGGGAGCCTGAGAGTCGTGGGTTATTTCTTCAGGTAAATGCAGTATCCCGGGACGGACTGACCGCTCTTCATTTGGCTGGTCAGCAGGGCCATGCAGACACAGTAATCCAGCTTCTTCAGAATAAGGCAGATCCAGCAGTCAAAGATAAACTGGGCAGGACCGCCCTGCACTGGGCAGCCTCTTCCCCTGTAGAGAGCAGGGTGGTGGACTTGATTTCAGCCAAAACCAACCCAAGCACCACTGACAATGAGAAGAAAACTGCCCTCCACCTGGCTGCCATGGAGGGGAGGTTAAATGCTGTTGTCTCACTGTTGCAACACAAGGCAAAGGGAGGTGCTAAAGACATGGATGGCTCCACACCTCTGCACTATGCAGCAGCTGGCGGTCATGCCAGTGTGGTTTCAACTCTTCTACAGTCGCTCAGCAACAAGGTGTTAGAGGAGAGAAATGCATGGAGGAAAACAGCGCTTCATGCTGCAGCTGAGAAAGGCCACGACAGTGTGGCTGTGCTGCTGCTGCAGGCCGGGGCAAAGATCAACGCTACAGATTACAGCAGAGACACTCCTCTGCACTGTGCTGTCCGAGGTGGACACCAGGAGGCAGTGAAGGGGCTTATAAACTGGGGCCAAGCTGCGCACAGCAGGGGGTGGAAGAAGGTGAATCTGCAGGCTCAAAATAAAGTGGGGAAGACTCCACTGCAGGTGGCAGAGAGTGGAGACACACCAGAACATGAGAGCATCACAACTTTACTCAAGAGAAAGATGTTTCTTGTCAAGTAGAGGGCGAAAAGAAATGAGACTGACATGAACAGAGAAGTTATCTTAGTGATATTACCTTTGATAGATGAATTCACATATCAAAGCTTGATCACAACAACAAAGTCATGCTCCTGCATACAGTCATTAAAACTCACTTTTAGGACAGGATGTTTGGACTTTTGTCCTGGTAAATCCAGAAATAGTCTGTCTGTCCCTCAACAACCACTCATTCAACTAACTTCATGCTTGGAGCAGAGGAAGTTCAGTGTTGACTGTGTTTTTTGGATGTTCTCAAAATAACTTTTTTCATTTTACACTGCACTTGATGCTATGTTAACCATGTATACACACAACCTATACATTTGACAATGGAGTCACATAATCAGTGACTTCACTCAAGGTCAGGTTTTTAGTTTGCAATAGACAGTCCATACCTTCACAATCCAGAGTTGAGACCAGGAGGCAGAGTCACAGTCTTACACGCTTCTCTGCGCTTCTATTTGAACAGTCACCCTCACAATATCCTATAGAAACTGTGTCTCCCCCCGACCACCTAAAATCATTAAATCAAAAGTAAACAGGAGAGGGGTAATACATTCAAATCTAATAAAAGTTAACACAGCTAATATACCGGTAACAAAACACAGAATTATAAAATGCGGTTTATTAAATATCAGGTCACTAAATAACAATATAATAACAATAAAAACGTTACTCTTTAATGATCTGATTACTGATCACCAAATCAATCTATTATGTTTAACAGAAACCTGGCTGCAAGATGGAGAATATGTAGGTTTAAATGAAGCGACGCCCCCAAACTATACTAATAATCATATTCCTCTAAGCACAGGCAGAGGTGGAGGGGTTGCAGCAATCGTTAAATCTGACCTATCTATCATCCCTCGAACAAAGGAAAGTTATAACTCCTTTGAAAATCTGATAATAGGCCTCATACATCCAAGCTTCAAATATCACATAAACCAATTAATCTCGTTATCATATATGGTCCGCCTGCCCCTTCTATCAGAACTAGTTCTTAGGACAGATAAAATCATCTTAGGCTGTTGCCAACGAGAGCCTTAGTTCAGCTTTCAAATCATCAATAGACTTAATTGGTTTCACTCAACATGACTAAACCCACTCACTGTCTGAATCACACTCTTGATCTTGTTCTGACATATGGCATAGACATTGAAAATGTAATCATATTTCAACAGAACCCTCTTCTGTCTGACCATTTTTTAATTACATTTGGATTTACAATTATTAATTACACAGATTCTGGACATAAATTCTATTATAGTCTGTGTTTATCTGATAAAACTGTGAATAACTTTAAAGAGCTGCTTCCTTCTAGACTTACCTCACAGCCATGTGTCTGTACAATACAGGGAAGTTATCAAAACTTTACTCCCACATTAGTTGTTAACTAAGTTAATAGAACAGCAGCTTCATTAAAAACAACCCTTGACACTGTCGCCCCGCTAAAAAAGAAGATAAATCAGAGGAGATTAGCTCCATGGTATAATTCTCAAACACGTGTTTTAAAACAGACATCGCAGAAACTAGAGAGGAAGTGGCGTTCCACCAATAATCATGACTTTCACCTAGCCTGGAAGGATAGCCTGATAAATTACAAGAAAGCACTTAGAAATGCCAGAACCTCTTATTATTCATTATAAATAGAACAAGAACAACCCCAGGTTCCTCTTCAGCACTGTAGCCAGGCTGACAGAAGGTGCCACCTCTACTGACCCATCTATCCCTCTAACCCTAAGACGCAATGATTTCATGAGCTTCTTAACAAATATCCACCACTTCCTCCCAATGAATAGCACATACATAGATACATTGTCTGGTCCTGAAACCATAGAATCAGATTTATGTTTGAACCAATTTTCTTCTATTGATCTTCCTGAACTGACCTCATTAGTTTCATCATGTAAACCAACAACTTGTCAATTAGACTCTGTCCCAACTGGACTTTTTAAGGAAGTTTTCCCCGATTGACAGTTTCTTATTAAATCAGATTAGCATGTCTTTGTTAACCAGCTATGTACCACATGCTTTTAAGGTAGCTGTTATTAAACCTCTGCTCTATACTATATACTCTTACTATACTACTATACTCTTCACCTTATACAGTATATGCTCCCCTTGCAACATCATGAGAAAGCACCACATACATGCCCTTAACAATCAAGCCCCTTCATACATCAAAGACCTGATAACACCGTATTATCCAAATAGATCACTCCGTTCACAAATCACAGGCTCTCTTGTGTTGCCAAGAGTCTGTAAGAGTAGAACAGCATGTAGAGCATTCAGCTACCAGGCTCCTCTCCTGTGYAACCAGCTCCCACTCTGGGTTCAGGAGGCAGACACCATCTCAGCATTTAAACTTAAACTTAAAACTAGTTCTGGATCTGGTGAGTCCTGAACCATCACTTCGTTATGCTGCTATAGGTCTAGACTGTGACTATGTGACTTTTGTCTTAAATGTAAATACAGGTGAACTTCAATGATAAAGCCAACAGTCGGTGTTTATTAAAAAGTTAATTAAAAGTTGCTGCAGTGGTCTGGCACACCTATCAGCAGGCTGGTGTACTGGAAGTATTCTATCTGTGAGTAGCAAAAACTATGCACATGTTAAACCCTTTTCCAAACAGGAAACACCAAAACTACTACCAGTGCCACAGCAAACCACAAATGATAATAACCAAAAATCAACAGGTGAACTCCCACTGCACCAGCCACTCCTGTGACTAAGGGCCAACATCAGCTGGCTAGACTAAAAACAATAAAAAAGTCAGATTACCACTGTGCTTTACACACTAAAACACAGGAAATCAAACAATATAAATATGAATATAAAATAAACAGCAACCAGTACTCCTCGACTGTTGCTATACCTGCTTTTTCATCGCTTGCTCAGGACCTTTGTGTGTTTGAATTTACCTCCGGGGATTAATAAAGTATACCTGATTTCTGATTTCTGATTCTGTTATGACCCTTAACAAAAGAAACAATTGTTGGTAGATGCACACTTTGTAATTAAATCCCTATAGTAAACTCTAACACATTCAATATTTACATAAATCAAATATACCTCAGGGTACATTTGCACCCCTACATTACCCCCAACAATTACATATTTCTAATTAAAACACAAAAAGTTAGTTTGGCTCACCAAGAGGACATGTGTGGAGGCGTGATCACCGGAGCAGGAATGACTGGGGACACACCTGTGCTCCATCAGCCTCTTAACTGCTCAGTTGCTCTCCCCTTGATTTGCCAAATTGTGCCTGGGTCCTAGTGTAATAATAGTGATTGTAAGCTTTGATTTTAGGCTTTTAACACTTACTCTCAAACTGTCAGACCCATTTGTAATATTAAAAATGTTTTGCTGTGCGGTCTGTTTGAAAATTCTGTTGAAGCTTCATTAACTTTTCCTCCCGGTTCAAAATACCAAGTAACTATCACCACAACCACCAGAGACCCAAGATGTCACGGTGGAATGTTTTTCACATTAGTTTTATCACAATCAGCATCTTTGCACGGTTACATTTTTTCCCTCCCACATCCAACACCACCACCACCACCACCCTCACAACCTCAGATTTCCATTCTATAATTCAAACGTCTTTCATCAGAAAAAGCCACAGACACAGAATATCAACTGTCTTAGAGGTTAAGTAAATCCAACTTTGATAAATTGTTTTATTAATTTATTGATTTATAAGTCTATAGTATTTAGGTTTGTGAGTTTTGGGGGTTTGTGAGTGGTAAAAAGTAACAGTTTTTTTATACAAATATATAACCTCATAACTGTGTGTAAGAAAAAAAAGATCAATGTAATGGATAAAACCCTTATAGCATAATGGAATTGACAAAGAAACTATCCTGATTGGACATGTCATGATCACATATCTGGACCTATCAGCACTTATTGACATAGTTATGTTCTTCAGTGGCTCAAGAATAATGCAAAATTAGATTAGATTAATTCTAGCTTTCCATATTTACTTTCTTAATTTCCCATCTCTTGTTTTGTTTAGCTTGTTTCTTTAAAAGAAAACAGGCCACCACACAAAGCATAAAACGAAACACCTGAAGTCAGCAAAATGTCTGTAGTTTCCTATGACCAACAAACATGCTAAGGGGCCATTGTGGTGAAACCATATGTGACCAGAATATCACTTTGAAGCTTTGAAACACTTTTTACAGTTTAATAACACAAGGAAGAAAAACAAGTTGCACCAACATCTGTTTTGAAGATATTTGTTTATCCATTAGGGTTGATGAGAATGTAATGTTTTTTGTTGTTGTATTGGTTTTTCTATGATTGAGTGTGAATACAGCTGCAACATGATGCTGATTAAAAAGACCAAAAAATGCAACATTAAATGTCACTGTCTAGACTCCCACCACAAAGCTCAGAGGGGAAGGAATGTTCCCCTGATCAAGGTTGAGGTAGAATGAGTGACTGAACACTACTGAACTGTCCCCACCTTACCACAGGTAATTAACAGGACTTATATGATCTGTTTAGATTTTAGAGCAGCTTGCTGCATAACTCTGCATATTAATGAGGGAAATCTTATTTTCAGACATTGCTGTAACAAGTTAAGCTAACAATGTAGGATTGATAATAAATATGCAGTATATGTACATGAAAGATATTTTCTAGTTGATGAGCTTATTGGTTTGATAATAATAATTTTATAAAGAAAATGATCAGATTTGATTTTGGTGGGCCTTGCAACAAAAATGTTCATATTTGTGGTGTAAAAATGATATTATTTGTAATTTGAATCAGTATTCCTGATGACAAATTAGCTGATTCAGCTGCAACATGCAACATCGACACTAGCGGTCGCTAAATTCTACGCACGGAACATTTATATATTTTTTTTAATTTCCACTGTAAAATCTTCTGAAACTTGGTATGCAGACAGAGGGGCTCACCATGAACTAGATAGAGATGTAAATTCTTAATCACCTTTTAAGGATGAAAAAAAAATACCATTATGAAAATTGAGGTGAGTTTGCCTTTTTACCGTAACACCACGAACAAATACATTTCTAAGCTGTATGACCGTGATATAAAATTTGAACTGGCAGATCCACTGATCTTGAACTCTGGATTTGTGAGGTATAAAATAATATAATATATAATACATATTTGGGACATTTATGTTTACAATACACACTCCAGCTCAGAAGGTGGCAATGCAACGACAACTTGTTTGCAATCAAACATTAGCAGAAGAAGAGGACGTGTGCCACGTGACATTGTTTACTGTGAGCGTGAACCATGGCGAGAAACGAGGAGAAGCAGCAAGGGAAACTGAACAGACTGTGGCTGCAGAAGGAGAGAGAAGGTAAACAATACTTTCCGAACATCTGAGTGATGCACACACTTCCTGCTCTGCGGGCAGCTAGCTTTAGCTGTGAGCCACATCAGTGCTAACTCTGTTTGCTCCTGTGGTTTGCTCCTGTGCAGAGGGACGACTCAGAGATGCTCATGAGCGCAGACCTAAGCTGGTGAGAGAAGTTATTCACGCTAAACTGTTGCCTCTTCATCTCAGTTCACTTTCACCTGCAGCAGCTTGTCTCAGTCAAACCTTCTCCTCCACAGTCTACTCTCCATTCAGCCTCGTCTGTGACCAAGTGGATCCCCAGCATCAAGAATGAGATAGAGTATTATCTGCAAGTAAGAGGATCTTCTGCAGTGTGCTGAATATAAATGTAGATGCATGTGGATGATGGTGACTTTACGCTCCTGTTCTTGTCCCTGTCCTCTCAGCAGTCCCAGCTGTCTCACTACCCAGAGAGGAAGATAGCTGAGTTCCAGCTGCACATCGAGGCTCTGGAGAAGGAGTACAAGAGCTTCATCGCCAAACTGCGAGCGCTCGACCCTTCGCGTAAACACAAGCCATGGACTCCTCGAGGATACTGCAAGAGGAGAGTGGAGAAACAGGCCTCTCAGAGAACAGGTCAGTGTGTTAGAGGCGACTCAACGTTCATATGCTCCTAATACTGTTAATATGATGCAGTCAACTGACTATTCAGTAACCCAGCGCACCACTGTCTCTCTCCAGCTCTCTGTCACAGACACACTGAAACGTCTGTGTTGTGTCTGTGTTGGCTGGTTAAACCTAACATTCAGACACCAAACCCTCTGCCTTGTTGGTCAACTGTCGTCATTGTGATAATACTATTTCATTAACAGCACTGACCATGGGATGCTCACCTGTACACACAAATTCTGTATTTCCTCACGCAGCCCTCTCTCTCTTAGGTCATGTGGCGATGGCAGAATGGACAGGTTTATGCCAAACTGGCTGTTATGCTGTGTGGCCTGGTTAATGCTCTTATCTTTGTAAAAATACTCTTTAAAAGGTAACTCCATTAAAAATGTTCTGCCAAGGTTGTGACAGTTAATTTTTAAATGTCACCATTTTAAGACAGTTACAACAAATTAAAATTTGACCATTTGTAAATTTCTCACTTTTAGATACTAGAATATGCAACAAGTTGTATTTACCCCTTTGACTCCATAAGAAATCTGCAGGGTAACAAGAACCTGTCTTATATTTTCCAATTGGTAACAAAAAATGCATTCTGTATTTTTTCACATATTAAACATCAATATTTGTGTGCAGCACATGTTTTTAATGTGTCTCCTTGGCTCTGACGAGTACAAAGATCCCTCTCTGCCAAATACAACTATCACTTTCTATTCTATTGCCTGACATATCAGCTTTGGACATTTCTGACAGATCATCACTCATTTTGGTAGCACAAGTCCTTTAAGACAGCTGTCGCTGACAGTCTTTTCATTTCTCTTTCATTTCTCGGTGTTGTCACTCTGGTTTACAGATAAACACCCTCTGCGCAGTGAGTCACATGAGGACAGCAGTCAGTGGTGTGGAGCTGCCTCGGCTAACAATCGGACAGGATGTCACCAGATCTCAAGCGCTGAGAGGCAAGGACCTCTCAGATATTCAGAAGCCAGACGTCAAACCCCTGTCCCCACCACCCCGAGGTCAGAAACCTCAGAGACAGTCTGCGCAGACCAGGACCAGCCGCTCTCCTTTGACCGCACGCGGCTGGCAGTGGCCACCGCTGCGTTCAGAGGGCCGTCGGCTCAGCTCAGCCCCTCTCAAACACAGAGTCTTGCCAGGGTACTGCAGTCAGGCCTGCCAAACCTCAGTAATTCCCCGTCAGGTCAAATATTGTCATCACTCAACGGAGACACAGAGAGCGATGTCAGGACAACAGAGGGTTTGGTTTTCGGACAGAAAGGTGCCGTCCAAGAACATAAGTCAGAGTGTGAAGCAGCAGAGAGGATACCTGAGAAATCATTGAACACATGGACAACAGACGAGAGGACTGGTCACGTCCTGGGATTAGACTGTTACTCTTCATCTGATGGGGAGTGTGACACGTGATATTTTAGATCATCAAATATAGTCGTCCACATTTTTATATGTTTTTTTGTTCTTTCAAAGGCTGGCAGGTCATGTGAACAACAAGATTTATATAAGAAAAGTACTTAAAACTTTAAAAACGTTCTTCACCTTTTTAAAAATCAAATCTGACTATATTTTCTAAAGTGTTTCTCAAGTATATAATATGACATGCTTTGTGCTTCTTAGTAAAATTTAACAAACTCTTGTATACACGAAGATGAGGAATCAGAATAATTCTATGTGAGAATGTTAAATGGAAAAAAGTTGAGTTTAATAAATGAATCAACAAGATGCATTTCAGTTTTGAATTCAATTCTAAGAGGACCTGCTGCGTAAGAGAAAGATTAATTTATGTCATTGCGACCACAGCTCAAGCAGACAGGATGGGGAATGTGTGAGAAAAACACAATAACTAATAGAGAAACTCGCTGATTCAGGGTAAGCCTGGTTGTATTAACTGGAGCAGCAGCTCTGAGTACAATCTGGTTAGACCCCAAACGCCTATCCTCCCACCTAACCCACCCTGAGCTGCTGCTGCTGCTGCTGCAGTTGCGAGGACCGTTGACGCTTTCTGCATGACACTTCTGGGAAACAGAAGACTTGTAGAAAGCAGACCCTGTGCACTTCATGGTTACGTCTGATGCAATCAACTTCTAAGTTAAAGGTTCCTATGTGCATTGCAAGGTGGGTTTCCCTCCGTCTCCACAGATGCCTGGAAAAATTAAACTGCAACAAATGTTTGCAACAATGGAGCTTTGGGTCAAGTGCTTTCTTTGCGGTTACCAAAATACATATACACAAAAAACAAATCTTAATTTGACACAACATACAATACTGGCCTAGCTTTAACTACAGACATCACCATGATTTATGTAAATAGTAGTGAGATAAAGACCGCACTGCTGCAGCCTCCCTCCACTTGAAGAATGTTTCCTTTATTAAGCTCCTATCTTTGAGGTCATAAAAATGCATCTTGTCATAACCAATGAAAGCCAACTGGAGAGAGCAGACTGATTTGGAAACCTAGTTTTCTGATCAAGCAACACATAAAACTGATCTCATAATGGAAACTGAAGAAGCAGCATCATTACATCATATCCTAGGTAATGCACCCCCCAAAAAATGTGTGTGTGTGTGTTCAACTTTCCTGTAAGCTCATCTCTGAAAGGTATTCGTTGAGGTTAATTGGTTACATGTCGCTGTACACCCGCTACCGTTTTTTTCACAAGCATTAAAGCGTAGACATCTGTTCTTTTCATGTGGCAGCAGCATCTTCCCACTAAGAATACGCTGTGTGCTACTGAAACTGCTGCATCAACAATGTTTACCAACAATACTGTGCCTCATAAAGACGAATATCCAATGAAACATTACATTTTGATTATAATGCTTTTTGGCTTTGATGCTGCTCAAACTTTTCTTTTGTGGCATGCTTCTAGATTCTTTCTGATGAAACCTATTGCTTCCTGTCCCCTCAGCCTGAACGACAAAGCACATAAAAGATCCAAAACTGAGATAATGCCTAGTAAAGGTTGAGTGGGGATAAATCCAAAAAGCAGCTCAGAGAAAAATCAGTGGTTAGTTTAGAGTTTATAAAAAGTGACGTGCACTTATCTTCTGTGGTGGGAGGGCTCTATGGGTGGTTAATGACTCAAGCTTGGTGTTTTAAAACGGAGGTGCTCAGGCAGACACCTCCTTCATGCAGAGGTGATAGATGCACGCACAGTTTGAAGTTCAGTACGACCTGCACCATGAGCTACGACCCCAGGTATCCACTCCCACAAGTGTTCCTCGTGGATGGAGGAGACAGTTCGGTGCATCCTGCCCAGCCTCCGAATCTTGTGCCCTGCTGGTCGGCCCTCCCTGCCCAGGAGAAGGTGAGGAGCCATGAAAGGAGAGGGGGCTTCATGGGCATCAGCCCCTGTTTGACTTTGATGGTCCTGCTGCTGTTCCTGCTGGTGTTTGCGGCCCTTGGCTTTGAGGCCTATCAGATTTATGGCATGCAAACAGAACTGAGACAGATGAGCCAGGTAAGGAGGTCGTGAAGAGGGTGGTGGGAAATGTTCATTTTAGTTTATATTTTTTCCACTGAATTAGGAAGCAAGCAAATGGTGAACAGTGCAGTAACAGTAGTGTGAAGGCAAAATAAGGTGGTGACATTTTGCCAATTATTTATTAAGATAATGAAATGCTGGACAATGACATTCATTATAATTATTTGTATAAGTTTAATGTGGACATATCTGTAAAAGGTTTGATTTCTCTCACTTTTGCACATAGGGAGGGGGACAGAGGTGTAAAGTAGGAGCGTGGAAAAAGTGGCCGGAAACTGAAACTCAGAGCTGCAGAGTTAAAAAATTAATTCACCAAGAGTCTACACACGTCAGCTCTGGCCTGACATTTAGAAATGCAAACCAAGTACCTGGCCGTTCTGTTTGTGGTCACCAGTCCAGAGAGACAGGATATCCTCTCCTCACTCACCCTGAGAAGTTAACTCAGAGAGGAAGAAAAAAACGCCTCTGTGTGATGTGGTATTGAGATTTCTCTGTTTCTTTCATTTCACGGAAGGGTACAGCTGTGACAGAGTTCAATATGCCTCAAAAGCAAATAGGTGAGTGTAAACACGTGACAAAGTGACACAGGAAAAGAAAAAGGTGAAGTGAATTTAATGTGAGGTTTGTTCAAGGTCTCTATGAACCTAAGCTGCATGAAGAAGACAAAGACGACAGACCTGCAGCACATGTGATTGGTAATATTTCTATTCAAATTAAAGCCTTACTCAGATTTTTGAAAAATCCACACGTTTTGTAACATGTCCCTCGTCTCTCCTCTTCCAGGGCAGATTGAGAAAGAGGTGTTCCATAAGACTTTGCGATGGGAACCGAAGGTGGGTCGGGCCTTCTTATCTGGAGGAGTGACCTACCAGGTTGAGGATGGCGGCCTGCGGGTCAACGAGAGCGGCTTATATCATGTCTACTCACGGGTGGAGTTGATCTTTAAGAGCTGCTCCTCCAAGTCCTCGTATGAGCACTCCGTGTTTGTGAGGAGAACGGGACACTTGTCACCCCTCACCCTGATGGAGGCCCACAGAATCGACTTCTGCCCTCAGCAGCGGGAGCACTCCTGGACCTCTGACAGCTTCCTGGCCTCTGCCCTGAAACTGAAGAAATACGACAGAGTGTTTGTAAATGTATCACACCCCAGTTATCTCAGCCATGCACATTATGCCAACTTCTTTGGTCTCTACAAGATATGAAGAGTTTTTGCTGTTGAACTTAGCCTTTTAGTAAATGACAGAATGTAAACAGCTGGAGAACAAATATTGTGCCTTTTGTAAATGTTGACACTAAGATGCTGGTACATTTGTAGCATTTGTAAAATATTTATTTAGGCGTGGCTCTGACAATCATTAAAAAGTTTTTTATGAATATTGTTTTGTAATAAATAAAGAGATAATTTAAGTTAACATCTGATAAGGAAGTGAAGTCTCTCTGATTGAAAACTAAAGGGTGTCATGTTGGTGCAGTTTGTTAATATAGAGGCTCAACAGAGCACTAAGAAAAAAATACAAAAACACTTGAAAAAGGACCTGAGGAAACTTCTCATCACCAGTCCTCAGGACTTGGGCAGGTTACCATAGGCAACTGGATCTACCCACGTCCCTCCAGGTCGCAACACCTCCCACCCAAGAGGCCTCCCCAGCCCAAACCAACCAGCAGGGGTTGCAGGCAAATAACCTCTGTGGTTCATTTACCCATGTAACTACCCACCCATCAGCCATCAGCTGCCCATCCACACACCTGCGCAACTCCTGAAGAAGAACTGAACAGAAGAAGATATGTATGAAGAACACAATGATAAAATGAGAGAGAATAATCTGAAAATTATATATCTAGAAATAAAGTGAATAAATTAAATTAAATTGAAAACCAGACCAGAAAAGGTTTGCTTTTAAAATGGTCAATACTTTTCAAGAAGGCTATTGCAAAGGCCTGGTGATAAAAGGATGCCTCACCATAGCATTTAGTTCTGACTTTAGGAATAATAAAAGGGCGAAAGGTGTAATGAACACCTACATGAGGTTTGGTCATGACCACTGGAAAGTTTTAAGATAAAGACACCAACTCAGGCTTTGTGGCTGAATAAGAACTTGATTTCCATATATTCCATTGAAACAGACGTGAGGTTTTAATTTTAAATCTGTTTACAGAGAAGCTAAAATGTGGCTTATGCACAGTTAACAGGTTAAATAAAGTATAAGATCAAGCCCACAGATCACTGTGCACTTTGCTTGCATTTCTGTGTAGCCTCTTTTTTCATCTAACACCATCGTTGCACAGCTCATTTTCTGAAAAACCACAGACACACATGTTAGTCGAGTACAAGGAGATGTACTGGCTGGGCACAGACGAGGGGATAAAATGGTTGACGTGTATTTCCTTCCTGTGTGAACATCACAGGGGTCTCATATCTGCATATTGATTTCTGTAAAAGAAAAAAACACAAAACTTCAAAACATGTCTTGCTTCTGAGCTTGTTTATACTTTGTCTCAGCATGAGCTGAGTGATCCTTTAAAACATTATTAAACTCCTATTTCAGTCGGTTGTGCCTAAACCACAAATGACTCACAAACTCTTGGTGTTTACTGATAAATTACACAACATATTACTGTGTAATTGTATCGTTTCACATGAGCACATCAGTGCAACAAGCTGATTTATAAGAGATGACGTGTGTAACTCAGCTGGTGAATCACCTCCATTCATCTTTCTGTGTCGCTGGGGCTCACATTGGTCACTCATTCAGAAAGCAAGGCATTCAACAGATCAAGACTTTCAAATATTATATAGTATATATATATAATTTGACAAAGGAAACTCAGTCAGCATTACTTAACCTGTGGTCATGTCTGCCATACTCAGTCTTGTGGTTGCAATTTGTTCCAAGAATCACTTTTTCACTCATCACAGTGCATATTTGCATCAAATGACACATAAGTAATAATTCTCATGTCTGGAAAATATCTCAATGCTGGAAATATTGGGGCTGAACTGCAGCTTTTCACAGTTCAGGTCATTTTACTTTCAATTTGCAGCCACTGATTTGTTACTTTCTATCCCTCCATCTTCACATAGCATTGCATTTGCTGGGCTTTATAGAATAAATTCAAATAAGTTATTTATGATCCCCATTGCACAAACTGAAAATGTTGACATGCTCTGTGATGTGTTGCCTTCTAAGACTATGTAAATACACATTTGATGAACTAGTGCAGTATCTGTTCTAAACCTGCCCATTCTCTTGTCTGGTGTTAATCCTCTGTACTCCAGAATGATTCTTTGTCATAAGTCCTCATCAAACAGTTCTACATGATCTCCCATGACGGAGATCAGCATGAGCAACACCTATAAATGTCTGTGTCAGTCCAATATGGTGAAATAAAAATAATCAGATTATTAAATTATCTGGCAGCAATTTCCACCCAGTTGTCAAACACTGCACTAGTTTATGCGAGGACGTAGAAGACACGTTCAAGTCGGTCAACAGACTGCTTGAGAGTGCTGTTTGTCTGTTTCTTTAAATGTAATCAATTTGATGTATCATATGTACAAATCGCAAATTTAAAAACTGCATGGCCCTAGACCACTAAGATGAGATAAGATTAATGTTTTTGAGATATGTTCCACAGATAGACAGACAGACAGACAGACAGACAGACAGACAGACAGACAGATAGACAGAGGCTTGTGGTATTACACCTGATGATATCTGAAGGCCAAAGCAAATGCTGCAGAGCAGAGGAGCGAATGTTCACTGCAGACATTTTCAAACAAAGTAATGCGATGAAGATTTAGGTTGAGAGGTAGAAGCATGATAATGAAAGACTTTTTACGAAACCAAACAGAGGGTGTGAACATCTACAGGCAGCATCGTGGCAGTGGTGTGAACCCCACAACATAATTGTCATGAAGGAGAGACGACAGAAAAACGATAAAGGACGAGGTCAGGAGAACTGAAAATGAAAGAACAAGTTTTGCGATTACATGGTAACGTGGGCGAAAACAACAAGACTGTCTGGTTTGGATGTGTTTGTGTCCATGTTGCAACACACCACTGTTAACCCAAGCTACTGAAATACAGTTGTGTCATAGTCTGTGCATTTTATCTTTTATTTACATTTAATCTTGTATGCTTTCAACTATAGATTTCATTCCATGCTCTGGCACATGTTGACTGGGTGGCAAGGTGCCAACACTTTCAGTCACTCACCTCATATACTCCTGCTTTCTTTGAGATTCTGCAACTGGTTTCCACCATTAAAATCCAATGATGACAGAGTGAAAGAGGACACCTTCATACTGTGAGTCTGCACCAGTGCTGATTATCATACTGTTCTACAATCATGAAAATCATGCACAAGCTTAAAGCCAGTATACTAACTTCCTGTGGCATGTAAACTTGACTTGTGTTAACTTCAACCTGAATGGATTGAGCCACTCTGAAGATTATAAGGAGTCACCAAACATCATGTGTGGAGTTTGCATGTCCTCCTTGTGACATTTTGGGCCCCATGACAAAAAAATCAAATTTTTTCCCCCCCGCACAGATGTTGTCACCACATCTCTAGGACTTAACTGACCCATCAAAAGCTTTACATAACTCTAACTTTAAAGGCTTGCAACTGTCTTGCTTGTTGTAGTTCAATACTAGTACTAGAACAATATTTACTGCTAGTGAGTTGTACATGCAACAGTCTGCATACAGTGTGCAATTCACTATTTGATGCAAGATTAAAAGCCACCATAAAAAATGTGCTAAGGCCATCTTTTACAGTCTTAATGTATTGGAAAATTTCAAAATGGAAAATTCT